GCGCTCCTGCCACGTTCTAGCCTGATGGCTAATATCCTGTGTATCTAAATTAGTGAGTAGGATATTTTTCTCTGCTTCCTGGTTAAAAAGACGCCATATTCTACCAAGTTAATATCTGCAATATATTGATCAGACAAAGTCTCTTTTAAGGCCCAGATTTACAAAAGCATGTAGGAATCCATGTCTCCATTGCTGTTATAACAGCACTGGGATTTATGCTTGTAAATGTCTCCAAAATTACATGCTTTCAGATGCTCAGATTAAAGGATGATGCTATAGAATTTCAAAGTGCTGCTTATTATCAGCACTGTTAAACCTGCAGCAATAAGAGGGCTGTAGTCAAGAGCAGTGGCAGAGCTACGAAGACTTGATGATGCTTAAGTGTAGGATAAGCAGAACCATAGTTGGTTCCTAATTGTGCGGGACCGTGTCCTTTTCCTGTGGCAGGGTAGTTCTTCTGTGGGTAACTTTTGTTATATCACACTAGTCAAAGTTTTGTTAAAGGAACCTATAGCTGATGGGTTAGAAGCTAACCTCGATACTTTTTCCTTCCTGAAAATCTGAGGCTGAAGTGGGGATGAAGCAGTTAAAAGCATATTCCAAGGAGACAGGCTATCAGAAACAGACACAAATACACATGAGCAGATACATTCAGATAGTAACTGGAGCCTTTGCAAATGAGGTTTGTTAACTCCTTTTCTTGGGTTTCCTCTACGTAATTAGATCAGCTTTTAACTGAGAGCCTACATAGACATATCCTATGTTTCAATTTATGTTAATAGTCAGATAACACCTTACATCCCAAAATGTCTGGCCCTGCACAAACATCTTACGCATTCCTTGAGGCAGACAAGTGTCAGAATCTCCATTTTACAGAGGAGGAAATATGGAAAAATGAACAGGCACAAATGAAACATTTTACCCAAGGTTACATGGGAAATATCTGGCCAGCCCAAGAATATAACCGAAATCTTTTCTTTTTCTTATACGTTAACCACAGAACTGTCTTTCCTTCCTTTTTAGAATGTCTTCAGTGTTTTTAAACGCTACAATTATCCTTTTACTGCTTTCTATTTAAAGACAGAAATATGAACTCTAGAAGGTACACTGACAGCATACTTTCATAATAAACAGTTCAAGTTTCCTGTCATTATTAACTTACTAATGTCAGAAGTATTTTAAAAGACAGAAGACCCTCTTCTCCTCAGCATAAGAAAGCACACTGAACACTGTATTCTAAATAATTTTAAAAGTATATTTTTCCTCATTAATTGGGATCCACTGGATTATGATTACAGTTACCACTAGTGCTTTACAGAGAAGAAAGTATAATAATGGATACATATCCTTGTATAAAACTCTTCTGGTAATGTTGTTTTGGAATATCTTTTCTTCAAAATGAGTTACTGGTAATATGAATAAATGAGCTTTGCCTTCAGTTGTTTTGTATTTCTAACAGATCTGAATAGCAAGGATGATCATCCTACCTTATACAGACACTATGACAACAATTAAATATGTGATCAAATCATCAAACAGACCAGAGTCCAGTCCATGATATTGTGCAGTTTCATTTCATTTCCCAGTTGTTTCCTCTGCCGGACAGAAACAAAACAGAAAACAGGACAAAACTGTTCATCATTACAAACAAAACATTACACAGAATAATACCATCACAGTTTACTTTACTAAATGAAGGAAGAATTTCAACAACAAATCTTGTATGATCTAACGCTTGAAAACCAGGCTACTTTTCTTACATTGACTAATATAGTGTGAGGCATCTACATTCAGTTAGGGACACCTTCAGGTTCCAGATGCCTAGTTATATTTGTCCAAGACACAGGTAGTCATGTTTACAACGGGAGGACTTTGTAGTATCTACAGTTGTAGGAAAAAATAATGTTGTCTAAGAAAGTCTGTGGCTTGTAATTGTAGACTACCCTGCATATGTGAGGCAGGAGTAATGCCATGCACTCAATCTCAGCTTAGAATTTTTAGTTTTCATTTGCTGTTATTATGTAAGGCACTTTTACAGGGAGTTATAGCTATTGTTTAACAAAGACGATACAACACCACAACTGCACTTATCTAGCTCCGTACCTGCTATCTCTGTTGCACTAGTGTTGATTCTGTGAAAAGTCAGGTAGGTAAAAGAAAATGCATGCTTCCATATAACATACCACTGCATTGCAAGCTTACCTGTGCTTATCCATCAATGTGTGCTGTACCACACCTGTAGAGCCTACTGCCAGTAGACCGGGTGCTGTTGGTTATTTGGAAGCACAATATCACTCACATCTGGGCCATGAACCGGGGCTACATTTACATGGACACCAGGGCACAAGGAGGAGGCTATGGGACAGCCAAGACTTGTTCCACTATGGAGTAGGGAACTGAGATGCTTATGCTTCTGGAACTGGGAAGTGACAAGTGATTTTGAGTCTTATATACAAATGTAGCCATAATTCCAAATGACAATCTCTACATGTATTCATGAAGATACCAGAGGAAAGATGTTCTGAAAGGGCTGTTTGAGATAATTTATTTAATAAGGAAGTAAGGTATGTTAATAAGCATTGACTCAGCTAATCTATTGCGGGCATCTGCTAATCATATTTTTTTCTCATCTTAATCACCTATTATGTTTTAAGAATAAACTAATCATTGCTTAGAATAAAGGAAGCAGACCACATTTTTTCAGAGAACGCAAACATTTTTGAGAACAAAATTCTCAGCTAGAAATGATGGAAGGAGGAAACATTCAGCAAACTCCGGGTTTGTGATGTCTAAAATAGAGTTGGTCTTTTGTAATGTAATTTAGTAAAAACATGAGGCCATTTGGCTGAATGATAAGAACACACTATAGTCTGTTGGGAAAGAGCTGGCCTGATGAGCTCACCAGATTATATTTCTATACAGGCTAGCTTCAGAAGAGGCAGCTGAACTAATGGAACATGAGAACATAAGTGTACCAGAGAAGTGGGACAAGTAAAATACAAACTCTGAGACATGACTTTTGGTAAAACAAGTACCAGGATCTGACTCCAATATTTTCCCGTTGTAGAAAGCAGAACAACCTTAAAACCTCATGTTTGATCACACAGAAAATTATTCTTCTGTTTGAAATAGCAACTTATTGGCAAGCTATGTTACAAACCTATTGTTGCTTACCAGCATGAAACTTTCAAATTGGTTATGTTAATACTAATATTGTTAGAAAAAGGATGGTTGAAGAACATAAATAAGAAGAACATATGTAAGAACATAAGTTTATTTGGAAATCTCTGGTTGAATCTATTCAGCCAGCAGAAAGGAGCTTCAGTTAGCTCCCCAGAAGTCTTTTCACCAAGCACTGGAGATCACTAGTAGTGTGTCTCCAAAAATAGAGGGAAAAGATGCTTGCACACAAAGCTACAGATGGTCTTTGAAAATAACCCATCATCAACTCCGGATAAAATTCATCCCCATTCAAAGAACGGACGCCAGGTGGCAGTACAGAAGCTAAAGAAAATTCAGCCGTTTTAAAACAGCAAATAGTGCTCATTCGGGCAACCTGCACCCGCACCACGGGGACCCTCTGCCAAGTTCAGGGGCTCTGTCTTGGCCGTATTACGTTATAATTACGTTGGTTCTGCATTACCGTGTCTCAACAGCCAAACAACCATTTCTGAGGCAAAAGATAGATTTTGTAACCAATCAGTTCAACGATGCCAAGGGACAAGGGATGCATGAACACACTAAAAGGCAGATCATTATACAAAGTATTTTACTGTCAGTAAATCTCCGTCAATGAACACACAAACTGCATTAAAGTACAGCTTCTAAGATTCAATGTAGCCATGTTTATGTACTGTTTATGTACTGTACAGTTTATGTACTGTTAGTGCCCTCTCACTGCATGACCCCCAGCATGGGAGAAACAGTTGTAGCAGGCAGCATTAGGAGATGAGAGTAGCCATCTTCCCTTGCCTTCAGAACAAAATCTCTGATGGTGAATACTGATTTACAAAATATTCTTGATTGAAGGCTTTGTAAATTCATAACAGAATAGTGAATCTTCTTACATCAGAAGTATGGCTTTTTGAGTGGTTTGCTTTAGGTGGCTCTCATTCTTGGGGCACTAGCTTCCCACATTTATGAGGGTTTGACTTACATTGCTGCTGGACCACACATGTGCTCTGCATGCTCTGGAATTCTTCTTCTCCCCCAAAGGCATTAAATATGGAGCAGTCCCATCTGTCATTCTGTTCTTTTGCCATATACAATCCACAATAAAAGACTCTGTAGCAGTGGGGGAGGAGAACAGGCTGTGGACAGAGAGTAAGCATAGGGAAAATTTTGAAGAATTGAGATTTGTGCAGAATCAAATTAATTGCCCATGCTGTTTCAGTATATGAGATTGCAGCTTGTGACTTGAGTCCTAGTCAGGAGAGACAATGACATTTAGTATTTAAATTTCAAGAGAATGTTCAGTTTCAGCTACTAATCCAGGGTTTGCAGGAGGCAGATCTGACTACAGAAAATACTGAACTTACACCTTTAGGCCTTTATTTCCTTACCTTTATTTCCTTAGATGCCTGATAAAGTGACACACTTCTCAGATTGGGTTAAGTCTTAACATCTGCCAAAGCATCATGTCCCAGATCTTTAGGAATGTGCAGGGGATCTGCAAGTAGGTAATTGATCCTTTTTTTCTCCCAGATCAACAAATTCTCCACAGTGCATAAGGGAGGACATGGTGCTGTCACGCATACCAAAGGAAATACACCAAATCAAAAAGGCACAAACATCACATTAGGGTCAATAAGATGAAGTATGCAGGATACCTGCTTTCACTGATTTTGTGCATGAGAGCCTGAGGTGCAGATGATGACCTTCAGGACATTCTGCAAGATTCAGCTGCTTACCCAACTCTTTTCTGCAGGTGTGAGGAAGGGTCTTAAGATTTATTGCACGTGTTCTGTTGAAGCTGGCGTTTGTTGCTGTGTGTAGCTCACCTCCAGGACGAAATGGGTCGACGTAAAGTCTAAATGTATCATTTCTTTCGTTGATGAGTTCCATCTTGCAATTTAGAGCAACTTGTATTCATTAAAGGTGAAGATGCAAGTCAGAAGTTTTTCGGTTTTTGTTTTTAAACTTTTGGGCTATTATTCACAAATATGTCTTTTCATATATGTTTCTTAGAAACATGAATGAAGTTGTGGAAAAGTTTTGATAATATACTAGGAAAGAATTGGTATGATCATGCTTAAATTAATATATTCTTTTTTTTTGCTAGTAATAACAGTGAGTTTGAATAAAAGCAGAGACTTCAGCTGGCTACTGTTACTTACAGTAATCTGTAAGTATTCAAAAGTGGTCACAAATTCCAAAAAAACATAAGACTTAATAATACAAAAGATGAATTTATACAAGAGCTTAATATGGAATAATTATTTACGGTACATTGTATTTTCCCGATATTGAAATTGCGTCCTTCAGTCAGAAATTTTTGCTAGGGGAAACACAAGATCCAAATACTAAAGAAAGACTTTGATATTACAGCAAGATCAGCAAGAGCATCTAGAGCACACTGCAGGAAAGAACTCCGAAACAATTAACGAAATTAACTCTTCAATATAGAAAAATTAGATTAATTTTGGATAGATATATTTCACTCAGCCACGTCTTGCATTTTTGAAGTCTTAAGTGTATTTAACTGGGGCATTCATTCCGCATAGAATTAAATAAACGTGTTAATTAAACAGTCTTTCAAACATCTTACATCAGTATCATTGAGATCACTTTTAGGTACAGCTGTTCACTAAACAAAGGAATCAAAATTATCGACAGTGTTTATTTCATAGTTCATGAAAGTTCATTTTCCATTGACTTTACTGTCATCTGTGCATCACTGCTGCTTCTCTTATCCAGAATAAAGTCTATTCTGTTCTAACATCTCTAGTTTTATAAAATGCCACTGCAGATCCTCAGCATTCGTTCCAGTAAACAAATTCCTCCAGCTCAATAACACTTTTCTCTTGGTTTGTTTGATGAGGCCAAGGTCAGGAAACAAAAGGATTTTGTTCTCCTGATACTGGAGATTGCATTGCTAGAGTTGCTTTCAAGTCTATCCTGCTCTCCTGTTTCAAACTTAGATGGAGTAAAAGCCCTCCCACTATCATTTGTAGCTACATGCTCCTCACTGGTATCCTACTGCACTTTTCCACAGAAAATAGGTTCTTCCCGTATACCAATGTCTAGAAGGTCAGCAGGAGTTTTCATAAATAATTGTAAATATCAGATTTCGGAAGCAAAACAGAAGCTTTCTATCTTTCCCAAACCCCTCTTTCCACATGCATTCTAACCCACAGCTTACCTCACGCTGATGTCAGCATTCAAAATCACTAGAAATGTACTTTGCATCAAGGGAATTTTCAGATTGCTGTGTTGAACAAAATAGGTGAAATTTTATTTTAAGATCTAAAATGATTGTGTTCTGAAGAGCAGCTGTGTGCACACATGGGAAAGTCAGCAAAAAGGCTGACTGACAGTAATATCATTGCAGATAAAAGCTCAGAAAGGAATTCTTTCCACAGATCAGCCCTACAAAAATAGGTATATTTTTCTAGATATGAATTATTTTATTATTTTAATGATTTACATACACATGGTAGGCTTCACAAATAGGAAAAGTAGTGGAGAGTAACGGCAAAGATTTAAACGACATTTAACTTGAAGTCACTGACAGACAAATTTTGATGATGACTTGGAAACAGATGAGCGAGTTTATTTACTGCTAAGATGAGGTTCTCATCCACTTTGCACAGCTGAGAGCTGTCTTTAAAAAATCCTCAGCCATTTTCCTGGGAGTATACAGCTATTGTCATAAAGACTTTAGGTATGTATCATACAATTCTGTTTTAACTCTTTATTGCACTGAGAATCTACCTGATTTTGTTTCATAGTCTACATTTAATCCTGATGCAAGTCCCTTGATTTCAGCTTAACTTTTCTTACTCATGCAAAGGATGAATATAGTTCATTCTGTTTCATTAAAATTGTGTTGTGACCCAGTTGTCCCATAAGAAATGCCTCTGAAGAAATACACATGTACTGGAATCTCCACTTCCTTTCTGGCCTCTGCAGATGCTGCTCTTCTGCAGAACACTATGCAGGGCCTGCAGGGCACAAACAGGCCTTAATGGCCCTGATCAGACTCACTTGGGTTCTCCACCCACACCCCCTGCCCATGGGCCCAGAAGCCTGAGGCTTTCAGTCTTGGCTCAAGGTATTGTGACGCGCCACTAGAGGGGCGTCTGGGATTCTTTCGGATTCCGGGGTTAGTTGCACTGAACTCGAGAGATCATCATTTGTCAGATATAAGAATTTTATTAGATCTAAGCGGTTCTACATATATGACATACGTGGACAACACTAAACAACTAACAGCAGACAATCTACAAGTATAACAAAGCTAAGAAGAGTAGTAAAGAATTAAAAACAGACTACACATATCAGAGCTCTATGGTTAAGCCACGGAAGCAAAGTACAATGACTGCTCTTGGATGCACGGCATAATGACCTCTCTTGCCTTTTCCTTGTTCTTATGGCCACCCCTACGGTACAGTTTTCCCCGGATTGTTCTCACCACGCTCGAGCTGCGCCAAGAGGATTCAGATTCTCTCTGGCAGTTGGCATCACGGGTGTCCCCCTTGATGGGTGGGTTGTTGGGTCCGCAGGCCAGCTGACGGTGAGTCCAAGTCCAGCCCACACAGAGGTATGTGGCTTACTTTCTTTTATCCTTCCGGGGCTTAGTTCATTATTCAGTCAATCAGTGCCAGACCATAGTTGAACAATGGAACAGATGGCCTCAGGTGATAACAGTATGGATGCCAAAAGGATGGTCAACAGAATGCTTAGCAGTACGTTCAGCAGCTATCAGTAGGAAATTCCAAGGTACCTAGATGCTTACAGTGTGAGTCTGCTTTGCTGACTAGGTTTGCTCTGCACTTATGAGGCTACGGCAACCCCACAGTGTGGTGGCTCTGGCCGTGGTGCCCCCGGGGTTCCTAAACTCTTGGGGAGCACCCTAGAGCAAAACCCTCTTCTGCGGGCTGCACCATCCTGAGTCTCACACTTGCCTGTGTGGCACCTATCAGGTATGCTGCAGCTGTGCCCATTTCCAGCTCCGTCTCAGCCATGGCTGTGCCCGGCTATGGCCCCTGTTGGTCTGGACTCTGACCTGCAGACTGACTTACTGTCCTAACTTTGGACCTGCCTTGTCACTGTGGACCTGCCTGGCAATTACAGAGCTGTGTCTGACCCTGGCTACCCTCACCAAGCTTGACTCAGACCCTGAACTGTGGACTGACTTCTCAGCTTGACCTTATTGCCACAAACTTGTCTGACCATCTGGACTCTGAGCTGACCCTGGCTGCCACCCCCAAGGCCTGCCTGCTCATCTCGCTCAGGGATTTTGGGACAGGGCCCTGGCTGGCAAAGCCCCTGCTCTGAGGGCTGTGTTTTTGCTCTTGGCTCCCTATCTCTCACGGAGCAGCTGGCCCTTGCGGTTCCCTGACACACTGCATAGAGACCAGTCCCTGGTAGAACAACACCGTGGTTACTTCCAGGAAGCCAAAATTACTTCCAAAACTGATTCTAAATGATACGGATGCTTGCATTTGCTGGAAATCCTTTAGAAAAGAAGCAACCTCAGAGCCTCCAGAAAGACACCCCCAGAGTTATGAAAGCAGCATCACACAATGTCAGCCAAATATAAGGCACTGTATTACTGGGAGTCCTACAAACTAGTTAGACAATAAACGTATGTTATAGTGATACTCTGGGTCTTGTTGGAGCTAGGAAATGACAGGAAGAGTTATCATTGGGCTTTAACAGAAAATCAGAAGCATTTTAAGTAAATTAAGGCATCCTTACTGATAGTCTTCAACAGCCACGATGTGGACACGGGGAAAGCATTGCTGTACAGATATTTCAGCATCTGGATGAAAGCTGACAGTGCTAGTGAGGTAGACTGCGGGGAGAGAAGAAAGGACCTACAGGTCGTTTAGCAGATCCTAACAAATCTGCCTCTAACAGATGATGAATATCTGGTCTCTAATTTAAAGAATCAAGAAGGTACATTGTAAACACGGCCTGTGCATTTATGAGATACCCTGCTTGCAACTAGAAAGTGAGTGAAGTCAAATAGTGATTCAATGGCCAACAAAGAGTCTTCGCGTAAGTCACATTCTGAAACACATCTGAAAACAGTCAGTAACAGCCAGGATTTCTTACCTACCAGGAGCGACAGATATCTATTATTGATGGAAGAGATGAGCTGTGGTAGAACCAGCTCTTAATATGGAAACGCTGATCCGCAATCCATTCATTTAGAATTAGAATTGCTCATATAAAATGAACATGTCCTGCTCCAGCTGCTAGAAGTCTGAAACTAAGAAGAAAGATTTTGCTTTACATTAATTGTGAACATATTTCTATGACTATGGTGATGGGATTTTAAAAGAACATATATCTATTTTGTATATTTTAGAAGAATATATGATAAATGCTCTTTCGAAGTACGTACTCCTCCCCACCACCACCATACACACTGTTCTAAGCCAATGACTGAGATTACTCAGAGATGCTTTCCTTGGTGTCTGTAAATACATAGCACAAAATCTAATGGTTAGAGTAATTGTATTTTATGGTTAAAATCTTGAAGAAAAATGTAATGTCTTACAGTTTTTCCTGTATGATCGGGTAGAGTTTAGTTTTCTGTTCTTCAATTTAAAGAGGTAAGTACAATTATTAAATTTGGAATACCTTAATATTGTAATACATCAGGATTAACTTACCTTAACACTAGCACAATTATATTTTCTGAATGACCTTGTTTAACTTCACTGAAAATGTGGTGAAACTAGACGTAATTCAGCGCAGATAACTTGTAAGACAAAGTGCAAATTCACCAAAGGAGCATGTTGTTCTTTTCCACTGAAAGAAAAATTCTGTCATGGAAGGCAGTACCTACAGGAGCTCCCCCAGGTTAAATACTTTACAGTCTTTTACAAAGGAATGGCAGCTCTGTAGACAAGAAAATAGGGTGGTAGCTCACAGCTCTCTGTTTCCATAGGAGTCTGTGGAATCCCATGGAGACTTATAAGAAGTATAAGCCTATCTGTAGCTTTTCTATTCCTTCCTAGGAACACAGCTAGAAATACCAACTGCCCACTACAGATATTGCACGACTGCTTCCCTTAAAAAAGTTCCCAGCATGGAAAAGATATCAAAGGAAAAACAATGCAGCATATGGTAACCATCCTCCACAGTGTACCAGGAACAAGGCGAAACATTATTTTTCTCCTCTAAAACCATTCTCCCATGATACGTATTTTTCCCAAATGCAGACTACTCCAAGTTGTTAATTTGGACGTTGAAAAACTAGATTTAGTCACTTCTGTAATTCCTGGACAGCTTTATCTTAGGATTTGGTTCTTCATACTGGATCTCATTGCTAATTAACCAGTGACAAAGTATTCATATTTCAATGAAGAAAACACACATATTCAATATATGGGATTATTTTATAGGCCAGATAGTTCCACAGTTCAATATCAGTAAACTGAATACATCATTAAATGTATTGAAGTCAAATGATTAATAAAAGGTGATCATAATTGTTACTATCCTAACTGCTGTGCCTAAAGGTTCTACCAAGGGCAAGTACAACTTTTTTGGCCCTGTACCCACTGAAAGTCAAAATCTATTTGCAAAGGGCTTCTGATCCTGCAAAGTGTTATCTGAATGCTTAAATCACATTAATTTGATCTATTCCTCTACTAAACTTGTGCATAAATCTTTGCAGGATTGTGACTTATCTTAAGAAAAGATAACAGTGAGTATGTGCTATAAATAAAAGCAGGAAAAATGTGAGAGGGGGAAGAAAGAACCAAACCATATTAGTATTAAATTATAATAAGATTCACCTGCTAAGTTATTGGTGACTATCACTAGTAGTATATGTTAAATATTTCTAGGCAAAGATATTTTGTTTTGTACACATAACTTACTTTTCCTACAGTATTACATTTATGACTCCCTAATCTCCTCCACACAAAGGCATTGCAAGAGTCAATGGAGAGCCTTCTTTGACACGCTGACTATAAAACGGATATGTTATTGTAACTCTAACTTTGTTAACATCCTATCATTAATCAAGATTTCAATAACTTTATTACAGCTATTAGCATTCCAGCATGGCTCAGTCTTACTTCTAGGATTTATAAAGATTTATAGTAATTCTTCTTGGGTTAGTGTTCGTGTTAACCAAGATTTGAAGGGTTTCCCAGTGCCAAGAAGTAAAAGTTGCACTGGTGTGCAAGAGAGGAGCAGTGACTTAGGCAGTGATTGTGTCATAAGTGCAGTGTCTTAAATCCAGCAGTATCTGTATACTTGAAGTTGCTTGAACTGTAAAATTACTTTTATGCATGTGACTTACAGATATCTTAAATCATAAATCTGTACGATCAGCTCAGTGATATATATATTATATATCTTTATGATAAATAGGGGAAAAAAGGTGTGCATTAGGGAAAAAGCTAAACTTGCAAATATCAGCTAAAACATCATGAAACAGACTGACATTTAGCATAAAGTAAAATGCAAGATAAAAATTTCTCCTTAAAATATAGTTACAGCAGAACAAATATTTTAAAGACTGCTCTATATAGCGCTCCCCTTTAAACACTTGAATGGGAATTCATTTAAAATTACAAATAAAAATGAGTACTCAATTAAAATGTATGGTCAAATTGTCACTTGTCATTGCATTACTATATAAAATGAATTAGCAGGCTAGATTAGTTTAATCATCTTGGCACAGCTTTCCTAGTCCCTAGATTTTTTAACTGCCACGGATGTCCATAGAATATTATTCAGGCTAGGCAGCTGCATAGTGGAAAGGACAAAAAACTTACAGAATTATACCATGTCAAAGTAAAATTAATAAAAGTAATTCATTGTTCTTGCATTTGCCATTGTATTGGATTTCAACATGCAAGCCTTTTTAATGGGAATGACCAGTTTTTTTAAATACAGGTAATAAAAGAATAATAAAACCAGCTTTCTCTCACGGATGAGAAATTCAGTATTTTTAGCTTGTTCAAAGCAATATTCAGAATAACCATGTTTACTTGTCCTTAAAAACTCACTGCTCTAGCAAATGTCAATTTATACTTGATAGTTCAGGACTGACCTGTCATTAGTAAAGAATTATCTTCAGTATTTAATATAAAAGTAATTGCATAATACATAACAATAGTTACAATTGTTTCCTATTGTATCAAATATTTAAGCTTTTTAAATATAATTCTTTGCAAGTATTAGGAAAGTAACTTATCTATCTGGAACATGGCTAGCTTCAGCCCTAATAATTTACTGATTTACACTTCTCTATAGCAACAATATAAGCTCTATCTTAAAAAGTAAATATATATATAACGGACACAGCAGATAAAATCAAGATGCCTTGGACCAAGACTATTCCAATACCCTGTTATGCATATTATAGAGCTTCTGTCATGTGAAGCTGATTTTAAATTCAGTCCCAAACGCTCTTAATACCTATTTACTTCTTAAGGAAATTGAAAGATCAGTGCTGACAGCATAGAGTTACTGTGAAAAAAGATTTAACCTGTACTTACCCTGTAGATCTATGCCTCCATGGGATTTAACTTCTTCCAAGGCAATGCCAGAGCAAATAGGAAAGACTTGGTCTTCTAATCCCAGGCAGACAAGGAACTCGGGAAATAACAGCTTTTACCTCTCTTTCTTTCTTCCATAGTTGAAGACAGGAAACTTGATTTTCCTAATGGTAAGTCAAAAAAACATTTCCTCCTGTACGAAAATCAGTCAAGAAAAACACTTCCTCCTGTACGAAAATCAGAAGGCTGTAGTACTTCATTGTGAGAGGATACATTTATGTAAAGGTATAGGAGAAAAAATATTTAAATATGATGGATTGTTTAAAAGCAATACTTTTCTCTTTTGATAGTTAAGGTTTCAATACAGTACTAAATGTATTTAACAAAGATAAAGCCAAAAACTGTAAGAATGTGGACCTAAAATGCACTTAAATTGACAAAGATTAACAGTTTGCTGCACAGAAGTTGCTGAGGCAGGTTCATGTGCACAAAGATTTAATAGTGGGGGCTGTAGCTGATGGCATACATCAGCTCTAATGGTGAAAGTTGGTTTGGGGGAAGGGTTGACAGGGGAGGAGGAAGGGGAGGGAGAGGGAGAAAAATTGCCCCCATTGCCCAGCTGGGCAAAAAAGTGTTTGTGGGTCCACAGACGAGCATCTTCCCTTGGGCCCCCTCTCCAGTGCAGCAGAACCTGCCCTAAGAACAGCAGTGAGGTTTGCAGGGGCCATGAGAATAACAGAATGAGACCAACAGCGTGAGAGCGTCAAGGGAAAAACATTGCCCCAGAGGCTGCGGGAAAAACTGCCATGGTGACATGGGGGCAGGAATACAGAGCTAGGAAAGAAAGGCAGGCTGCAGAACAGTGAATCTTTAGCAGTATAAAGGAGAAGGCATCTAAGGCACTGTGCAACACAAGGGAGTACATTTTATGTAAAATAATGAAAGTCACTTTCAAAGTGTCTCTCCGTGTCTCTGCACTTTCTAAGATTATGAACGAGAACCTTTTTTACATCTATCTGTCTTACGTTATATACAGTTTAAGAGCTCTTCACAAACCGCCAGTATCCACCTATGAATGCCATCCTCCACTGCACTTACTTCACCAGTTCCAAATGCAGTCATCTTTCCTCCTTTTTGACCACCCCCATTCCTCAGAGAACAAGCCACTTTCATCTCTTTGTAGTTCTAGTTCTAATCACTGGAAAAAACTTGTTAGCAGCAGGTATGGAGACAAGGTAAAAGCTCCTAAAACCAAAGAAATTTCTCTCTTAACAGTATGCTGGAATACTCTTACCTGACAGCCAATATGATGTTTAACTACTTATCATTACATCAGCCTCTTCTAAACAAGACTAGTGCTTTCATTCCGGAAGAAGCCAAGTAGCATTTTACAGTGATGTTTCTGCACCAGTGAAGTGATACAGGATTAATAAAATACTGTTTATATTCTTAGAACATTACTGTAGAACTGACTCTTGCTCTTTGTGATGGCCCTAATATATAGCTGCAATTTTAATGTACTTTTGGCCTCTTCTTCCTGTCACATAACGATAGTCACAACTCTAGCATCAGTTTTTTTAGCATATAGAACCAATCCTGATGACATCCTTGAAAGCATATTAGCACAAAGAATAAATTTTCATATGCTTCATCATTTTCATATTTCCAGAAGTTTGAGTTCTATGGGCGGCCCAGGGACCTGATGCCTCCCAGATGACACGAGATGGTTTTGACTTTTTAGTGTTTCCGCTTTCCTTTGCATCAGAGATTTACTTTTAATGAGTGATTTTGTAAATCTGGCCAAGTCCTTTAAAGTTTCTTTGCCCTTGGGCTCCTGGCTATATAATGCTTCTCGGGGCTGTGTTCTCAAATTAAGACTGTCCTAGAAAGTCACTTATTTCTTTTTCTGCTGAGGAAACAGATTTTTGTTTATAATCTTTTTCCATAAATAGGGCCAAAACCTTCTTTTGAAATGTTTCCAGGAGCTTCTTTCTCTTTACCTAACAATTCAGATGATGACCTACGATGATTTTTACCAGGTAGATTTAGGTAAGGTATCTAAGGTATCTGATTGCCCCTACTTCCCCATTCCTCATTTTAGCTTACTACTGTACACTGGGACAGACTAAGACTTTCTTCATTCGTTGGATGGAAACCAAAAAATAATATAACGCAGTATTCAACATATTCTGCAGCTCCTATAACTGAAGTTTCTTCTTCCCCCTTGTCAAGTTGGTGCTGAATCCTGCCTTGAAATAAATCATAAAAACATAATCCAAATGCGACTGACCTCGCTAGCCTAAGTAACTGAAGTCTGCAGGGGTACACTTTCCCACTTGCAGTGAAGTGCTGTGGAATTCCAGACAGATTTTATTTTAAAATATAAATCTCAAGGACACAAAAACTCAAACAGGATAAATCAGTTACCTCATACGTGCCTACATCAGATGTCTGAAAAATTCACTGAGGTCTGAGAGGAAGCCTTGCCAAATTTTCTAGCTTTTAATGAAAAAAGCCCTGGATTCCTATTAGTATGGGAAGGATAACACATAAGCTTATTGAAAAAGGAAAGGATATTTCCTTAGTACCGACTTTTTGCCTGAGTCATAGAGGAAAGATCAACATTTTTCTTCACCTTTTCCTGGCAAAGCTAGCACGCTAGATAAAAAAAAGGAGGCACATTAGGTTTTGTGAGTAGTGGCTGGAACACCTGCAAGCTGTATACAGTGCAGGACGCTATGCAGAATCACATCACTTACCACAGACAGGAGAAAACTGTTATGCAGAAAGGAAGAGCATTTATGCTTTTCTCAATGAAAATCATCTTTAAGTAAAAGCAGTAATAAATAATATCTATTTCAAATAACAATGTTCGGGCATTTGGAGTAAGAACATCATTAAAAGAGTAATGAAAGTAGGACAATCTTATGCTGTGTGCTCGTCCCTATTCTTTGCTCATTACTTAATTGAAAATAAAAATCCAGGCTAGTGGATAGGACTTTTTCATACATCTGCATAGCATTATTGGTATATACAGAGCACCCCAAAACTTCTTTAGGCCCTTAAACATGGCTATAGTCTTATTACTAAATGTTATTTCCTTGCATTATTCAGTAAATTTATTTTTATAGTCTTTTGGTTATATGATAAACACAAGAATAAACCAATTCAATACTCACATTTCTAGCAGTTTCCAATTTCATGCAGTAAAAATGCCCAACCATGATTTCACTGTAAAATAAATTTTTATTTTAAAAAAATCCCATCAGAGTATTTCACTGATTCTTGTTCAAGTTCAATTACCTGTTTACTTACTGTACAAACACAGCTAAATATATCCTGCTGATACCAGCAGATACACAGCCGTGACATAAAATTTTGTTTGTCTGCTTTTTAAAACGTACTGAGTGTAACATAGTATTCCCACAGCCTTCTTTTGCCTGCTGAGTATGAGACTGAATAGAAAATAGTATGACTTAACAAATGCTTTTATTATCCAGGGTTTCAGTGCCATTAAGGGCTTATCTAAAAACTACAGAGCTGTAATAGGGCCATCCAAATTCTCTTTACACTTACTAGCTTGGGTACAGGCAGCAGTCTAGTCATGGAGCTCAGACAACATATTCTGCTGCTTGACTGATTACAATTAGCTTAAATGCCCCATAACCTTAGCATTTAACAGGTAGGGTATGCAACATAATGGAGTAATACAGTTTCAGCTACCGCTATATGCCAATTTTTTTTAGCAGTAAGTTCTTCTTTATGTAGAGCGTAATGTGTGCATGTATGCATTCCATCATCCTATATGTATGCACATATTCACATATGTATATGTGTAATGCATCAGCCACTGGGTTACGCCTTATCAGACAGCTGCCATGACTTTGTATCACTGCATGTGTGTCCATGCAGTGACTAGTACCATAGGGCATTACTGTAATGAAAATGTTAAACAGAGGAAAAAGAAGGTTGTACATATGTGTGGGTATAAATTTATAAATAACAGGGCCAGATATTAATTGATAAAATAAAGGGCTATCAAATACCTACCTCTATTAGTTCTCTGTTTAACCTCCCTTCCCTCCACTTCTCGTCTCTCTGGCTAGCAGTTACCCCAGTCTTTGTCAACCTTTTTCATGAGGTTTTCTTTCTTTCTCTACTGCCATCACCCTTCATCCTTGGAGCAGCTCCTCAGAAATCAATGAAGCCATTCAGATTGATAAATTAACGTGCACTGAATGCTAGGAGCAAATTAATTTCAGTTACACCCATTCCATTTCACTGACGTCAGTGGGACTACACAGTAGCAGGCAAAGGCAGGAAGGCAGCCTAAAGGCTATGCATTCAAGGAAAGAATCTGACTCATGACATCAAAGAATGGAGGCCTTCATAAATCACTTCTCTCACTACTGGATTCTTTCCTTAATATCTTGCCTTTGATTTAGTAGCCGGAACCACTTCCTTTTCCCAAAGTGTGGGGGTAAGGGGAGGACAGGACATTCCCGTTACTCCCTTCTCTAAGTAATATGGAAAACTAAGGCACAAATTTGAAAATTCTGCATCGTATACAATTGCTCTTTGCTCCTGTACTTCCTGGTATGGATGAGACAAAGTGATCTCTAACCAATAGAATTCAGTTTCAACAGCAGCATGATAACATGAACAAATCCTCCCACATAAGGATACGAATCAATACCCATTACAAGACGCGTTCTGCCAGGATGATTAGTTCTGGAAATGTCACACAAACACATACATTTCCTGGCTCAAATGTGTCAGGGCAGGCCTGTGCAATTCAGGGCAGCACTCGTACTTCACGTGGTTTGGAATCACAACTGTAACTCCATGTATAGGGAATTTCAGTTGCCTTCATTTTTCTCCATTTACATAGATCTTTCATGATGGTGGCCTAATTTGAGGCAGTAAGCTGCCAGCAAATTATTTTAGAAAGCAAAGGGACATGCTCATGAAGTAGAATAGTTTGTATTATCTCCTTTCACCCAAAGATCTTAAAGTCCTAGTCATACTGCGCACAAATCATGTTACACACATGATTTGTTTACACACGTTTGTCACACTTCCATCTTTCCATTCCGGCAACAGCCAGCTTTACAGAAGCAGTAGAATAAACACGGGGCAAAGCAGTGGTTGTCTTGACTGTCTTAAAATCAGCCAACACTGAATGGCTGCTGCAGGACTGCCCTGGTATACATGTCTATTTATAGAGTATCAAGTACTGCTGTGGCACTTAATCATAGTATTTAGCCTATTACCAGATACATCCCTCTTAAACGGTTTCCGGTAGTATTATCTACCTCCACTATTAGTGCACTGGTATTAAGCATCAGTTGCCTGGAATAAGTCCCAGTTGAGTGTATTTTATTTTGTCCCATGCTTCTGGACATTAGAGGGTTAAATCCCCTCTTTCTCGGCAGCCTCTATCTAGCTCCAGCAGAGACTTTCACCCACTGAAGGGGTGGTAACTGATTTATCTTGCCAAGACATCCTATTGCAGCAAACTGAACTCCCAGGTTACAGTCCAGCGTAAACACAAAGTCAGAAAAGGCTTGGGTCTGCCCAAGCGGACATTAAGCCTAGTTCCACAGAAACGTGAGGTGCCTCATAACAGGTTAGCTTAGTTTGTACAGACTTGCCTTTGCAGAAGAAACTGGCATGTCACAGATCACAGCCTCTGGATGAAATCTTTCTCCTGTCAGGCTCTTCACACTGTACAGATTGAGTCTCAGCTGGCTCTCCTTCGCACATAAGTAGGCTGAGTTTCATAGTTTCAGAACTGACACCTATCATAGGTATCATAACAAGGCAGGAACGTTGTCACCACAGCTTACTAGTCCTTCCTAATTAGCATGGTATCCATATGCCCCATTACATCAAATGTAGTAAGACACAGGAAAAACAAACTTCCAGTCTAATGAAAGCACTGATACTGGTGGGAGCAAGTTTCTTTCACAGTCACACAAATCTACCTCCTCACTCTCAGCAACCTATACAAACTTCCTCCTTAAAAATGTTGTGAAGAGACTAAGAGATCTCCATCAGTTCCTAGATTTGCTGATGAGTACTTCTGAATACCAGACTCTATGACTGACTCCCCTTCCTGCTCCCCTCCACAGGATTGGAAGCAGGGGAATGTTACAAGAGAACGTTGAATTCCATCTTCTTAGTTATATATAAGATAGAGACATTTTACAAGCGAACAGGCTGTACCTTGAGAAGGAAAAATAAAACAATAGCAACGCTAATATATTTTTTATTTTTAGCTTTTTATGCCATTCTGTAGTTTTTTTTATTTTCATAAGCTCTTTTAGAAGGATGTAAAGGTTTGTGTTAGTGCATTTCTGTCAGGAGGTATCTTTCTTCCCAGAATAAATTATTGCCTGCTTAACAAAACAATTTCTAGTAATATACAAAGGACAAGTTGGAGCAAACTTGTAGCAGTAACTTTACTGCAATCACACGCAAACTCCCGCAGGAAAAAAGCAATGGCTGTGGCCATTACACATTTCACAGCAAGTGACGTGAAGGAATTGAATGTTGTCATGGTTGAAAGCTTCAGGGATCTCATACACTTCATTGAGCCTGCCTACAAAATGCTATATCTCACCATGTTCCCTTACAGCAAGGTTTCCAGTAGAGACAATGCTCACCATGCCAAGCCTCTGCAGTGCTCAAGAAGATCAGCCAGACATAGCTGCAGTAAGGGAAAATATAGCAGAATCTTAAAGAACCACTTCTCATCCAAATAAGCTGTGGCCTTAGAAGCAAGTTTTAATACTTGCTACATGTATGTGAAAAAGCTGTGCGTAGGTCATTAATAGTGAAAACATTTCCAGAAATGATTTTGAAAACATTTCTTTGAATACTGATATTTTTGCTAATCTGAAAGAAAACAGTACTGCCTTTTGGATAAGGAAAATGAAAGAGGTGGAGGTGTGTCGCCGTCATCTAAGATTTACCTACAGGAAAGAAAAGAATAGGGAACTGTAGCTGTCTTATTTCCATTCCTGCCATCACTGCTGCCTGTGGGGGACATCAGGGCTGGCGGGGTAAAGAAAGGGTCTCCCCTCGGACACCCGCCTTCCCACTCCCATTCCTCCCCCGCTGTGTCCACTCCCAGTGCGTGAGAATGCAGCATCTCATAATAACCAGGAGTGGGGGAAGATCAGAATGACGCACAGGCACACAGACGATCCTACGTGGGACAAGTGAGATTGCCCTAGACTGCAGTGCTCTGTCCCCTTTGTAAGGAACTTGTCCTCCAACTAGTAGTAACTTTCAGTTTGGAAAATCTGATGACTATATCATTGCATAATTTTCATCTAAGCAAAAAGTTCATTTCTGTCGTCTTTAATATTTCTGGTACTTAATGTATTGATTTGTAGCTGCTCATGCTTCCGAAATAAACAGTTATAAAACAAACCGAACAGAGCCAGGAGAAAATGCAGATATTGTTGAGAAACCTGAACCACAGCCTTTTTGAAGCCCATGCTGATACTGCTATATTTAGTGCCTTATTTGGTGGGAAAGAACAAACCACTAAAAGGAGATTTCTTCCAGCTTCGATTGAATGCTACATCAGAACAAAGGTAATTTTACAGATGACATTAAAGTAGCCAGAAAATGATATGCTTTTTATTTACTAACCTTTTTGAAGATCAGCTACTTGCTTCTATCGCTATAAAATATTGTCAGAAAGTATTTCCTAACTTGGAGTATGCTATGATGGATACTAGTTGTACCAGTTAGTCCATTTGGTTATTATCAGGGAATGTGACAGCAATTTTCACAACTACTTTAAAGAATGATCTCTTCCTTCTTGATATTTGTCAAAAAAAGCCCAAAGACATGCAATTTATTTGGAATGTAAGATTTTCAGAGTGTAGAATTCATTAAACTGTTTGTTCAGAGCAATGAAAAGAGGTGAAAAATTGTATGTAAAGGTGAGAATCAGAAACACGAAGTGTTACTGAAAATAAAATGCCATAGCAAAATAAAATGCTGCCCCTTTAAGATACCAAAAATAAAACAGAATACTTTCCTCGTCTATATCCTGACACTGCACTCAGCTCTACAGTCACAGAAGTCTGCCAGTGTAGAGTTCATCACAGGATTAAGGCACTGGAGTGTAAAACAGAGACATAAGGCAAGACTAAACGTCAATGCAAATCCAAAGGGAAGAGTAGAATACCAAGTTTAATTTCACATAGCAGCAGGGACTGATGAAATATTACCCACA